ACACAACCATCTGATAGGGACAACTCCCACCTCTGGACAGTTGAGGTCATAAATCTGGTTGATCTCTATGACAAGTCCTTCCTCTCCGGAACACGTTCACCACTACAGTCAAGACAGGGTCAATGTGGGTAGCTTTCTGCACCTGAGTCACTGACACCGGTACCTTGTCTTCCTGGAAAAAGCACATAATTTTCAGGTTCCAGTCAGGAACATCCTTATTTCCCGGTAGTGCAAACCTAGACAAAACATCTGCATTGCAGTATTTTTCTGACTGTCAATATCAGATCTCATATGAGTAGGCTGATAGAGCCAGAGCCCACCTCTACACGTATGTTGCCACCATTGATGGTATTCCTGTACAAGAGACAAAAATGGAGGTTTGTGGCTTGCTGTTTGTCAGCAGCACAAAGAGCCTGCTGCAAAGGAAATGGGTGAACTTCTTAACACCGAGCACAATGCCTCTTCATTCAGGCAAACATGCGACAGTACAGCGCCAACCCCATAAGTTGGCAGTTTGTGTCAAAATGAGTCAACACTTCCATCCTTTTTAGGGCTTGCTAAGCCTCCTTATTTTCCTGAGTCCTTTTCCGCCAGTTGTTCTTCTCCCCACCGACTAATGCAGGGGTTTTAGCACGATTGCCAGAGCTGACACAAACTTGCCATCGTAATTTATGAGTCCCAAGGATGATCTCAGTTGAGACACATTCTCTGATCCAGTGGCCTTTATGATAGACTCCATCTTCTTGGGCAACTTGTGTAGTCCCTTACCACCAATTATATTGCCCAGCAACTTGAAGGTGTCTTCAAAAAGAAACTCATATTTCTCCTATTTTACTTTTAGGCCAGGTTCCTCAAACCAGTAACCAAAATATCATCCAATAACACTGTACATCTAGCAATCCATTCAAAATTTGGTCATGGCCCTCTGAAATACAGCCAGTGCTGGCATGATGTGAAATGACAGCTGCTTGTAGCAAGAAACAGTCATCTGTGTGTCACTACTGTCAGCAGCAGCTGGGACTCCTTCACATGCCCCATCTGTAAGTAGGCCTGCGACAGGTCCATTTTTGAGAATTTCTTTCCCCCAGCCAGTCCACTGAATTGATCCTAAACACGTGGAAGTGGTTATAGATCCGCACATTGGGCTGGGTTGACTGTGACCTTAATGTCACCACAAATCTATTGAACACCATCTGTTTACAAGATCAGGACGACTGGAGGGGTCCATTCACAGGTGGTTACTGGTTCCAACACTCTCAGGTTCCAGCTGCAGTTCCAGTTCCATCTTCACTTTAGGCCAGATGGCGTATGGCAGTGGATGTGCCTTCAGACTCCTTGGATGAGCCTCCTGCTTTAACTGAAGTTTAATTGTACTCCTTTCATTTTCAGATTCCCTTGAAGACATCCTTTTACTTGTCCAAAATCTCTTGCAAACTCATCTTTGAGTCTGCCAGCCAATTAACCATGCGCCAGCTTAACTTGAATTTCTATGACCAAGAATGTTCAAATAACACAGAGTAGTCGCCTTTACATTACGTGCGCAGGCATTTCACCACATTGGTCCCTCAACTGTACTGTCACCAGCGCACAGCCATTCAGTGGCAACACTTGTTCCATGGATGTCTGCAGTTTAATATTAGCGAATTTCAATGGCAGCGCCTTGAAATTTACCCTATACATTGATGTGGGAATCGGAGACACCGATACACTCATATCAACTTCAATCTTTACAGTCTTACCCTCTAATTTGGGAAGAACTCAGAACGATCAGCTTCACCTCATAACGATAGGATGTTAAACCAAAACCCCAGAATCTGGGCCTCTGCGTCTCGCGCCAACCCAGCTGACTCCCAGTCTACTCTCTGGCTGACAGCATGTACTTTTAACCCTTGTCCCCTGAATTGTCTCCTTTAGAAACCCTTCTTCTCCTTGAGTTGTAGTTGGCAATTTTAGGGAATATGGCCTATTCATTTACACCTGCAGCACAGGGCTACTTGAGTCTGATATGTTGACTACTTGTGGCCATTCTTGCCACTTACATGGCATTCTACAGCTGATACCGCATTCTGCCTAATTTCCACTACTCCATGCACTGAGCATCATCACTTAACTGACCTCCTTTACTAGTGGCCAATTCCATGGAGGTAGCAATTTAGAAAGCTGCCTTGAAATCCAGGTCTTTCCTTGTTAATAGCTTCCATCGGATGGCTTTGTGTTGGAAGTCATGAACAAAACAGTCCTGCAAGATTTCTGAAGAAGGGTCTATGCCCAAAATGTCAGCCTTCCTGCTCCTCTGATGCTGCTTGGCCTGCTGTGTTCATCCAGCTCTACACCATGTTATCTCTAATCCTGCAAGTTAATTTGGAGGAAGCCAGCAACTTTGCTACATTCCACTAACCTCCTTATGGTTGCAACAAATTTTGAGATGGACTATTCTTCGTGTTGTACCCGTGTAAAGAACAGAAACATTCTGTGATCATCAGTGGCTTTGGTGCAAATAAATCCCCAGTTCTTGGTATGTCTTATCTGTAGGTTTCTCTTGTTGCACCACACTCCAAAGAATGATTAAGTTCTTGCTCCCAATGATACTCAAGAAAACTCAGTACCATTATGCCTTCAGCCACATTATTTGCCTTTAAATGTGCATCAAAACATCTGGTGTACAGTGTCCAACAATCTGTCTTTCCATAAAATATCCCATCCCTCCAAAATTGCCCGTTATTTTGTTTACCCTCAGTCAGGAACTTTTCCCACCATTTGAGTCTTGTAGCCATTCGCTATGAGTCCACTTCGCTATTGCGCAAACTGCTCCCTCATCGAATGGGTTAGTGTACCACTCGTTCCTAGCATCACCTGCTGCCTGAAAGCCCTCATGATGCTCTCTGCGATAACTTCATTAAGCTCCCCGGTGGGTACTGCCCATTTTAGTTTTTGGCTGCAGCAATAATCTCATCACGACCATCACTCTGGGCTTGCTCCCCAGTGCGTACCATTCTTTCCTGGCAGCTACCACATCCTGAGTACCCTTGTGACCACTTCCTTCGACGTTACCTCCACAATTCTGTGCTGTTTATGGAGTCCAGGAGACGTCCTTCCTCCCGACAGAAAAGTAACAGCATTCACACACAGTTTGTGGCCCAAATCCCATTCTCGTTGCCAGTTATTGTGTTTGCAGTTCACTAAATGACACAGAGTCTGATTAGAGATATTGATATGTTGAGTAAATGGGCAACAACTTGGCACTTCTGCAGGTAGAATAAAGGTGTTGTGTATTATTTAAATGGCAAAAGACTGCAGAAACCTGCAGTACAGAGTGATTTGGAGTTTCTTGCACATTAATCGCAAAAAACTAGCATACAAATTCAGCATGTAACAGGGAAGGCAAATGAAATGGTGACTTTTGCTGCAAAGGTCAAAGTTAGATCACAACTGGAATACTGTGAATAGTTTGGTCCCCTTAAACAAGAAAAGATATAGTGGCACTGGAGGCAGTCTAGAGAAGGCTCACCAGCTGATCCTAGGTATGGAATGATTTTCTTATGAGGAAATATTGAGTAAGTTGGGCTTATACTCACTGGAGATTGGATTGAAGAATGAGAGGCAACTCACTGAAACACATTCAATTTTTAGCGGGATTGATAAGACAGATGCTATGAGGTGCTTTCCACTTGAGGGAGTCTAGAGTCACAGGGCACAATCCCAGAATAATGGGCCACTCAGCTAAAAAAGAGATGAGGTGACATTTCCTCTTTCATGTTTTAATTTGTGGAATTGTTTATTGCAGAGAGCTGTAGAAACAAGATCATTAATTACAATTAAGGCTAAAATGGACAGAATTTTAAAAAGGGTATCAAGGTCTATGGAGATAAGGCACAAAAGCAGAATAACGGGTTATCAGCTCAGCCATAATCTCATTGAATATTGAGCAGATTCAGGTCTTTTGTCTTTTACTGTTACTGAAGAAAATCCGGTGTGGTTTGTTTTTGCCCTGGTCAGTCAGATAAATTGGGCTTTGCTGGTCTCATTCTAAATTTTACATGTTTATACTTCTTGTAACAATGTGTGAACAATGGCGCATGATTACTGGTGCACCATTCCCAACTAAGTTCTGACAAAGAAAAATTGTTCTGTTCTGATTAGCCGGTAAAACAACACACAGGGGACACATTTTTAAGGTTTTAGAAGTAGCATAAAGGGGGTTTGTCAGGAAGAACTTTTTTTTAAAATGCAGCCTGTAGTAATGAACTGGGAAACGCTGCCCATTTGTGTGTGACAATCGAGGTTTTGAATAGAAAACTGGTCAAATTTTGGGGATTAAGGGGTGGTTGGGGGGAAATCAGGCTGACTGGATTGCCATACAGAAAGCTGACATGGTTCAGTAAAAGCAAAATTGATTTTTTTTTAAAAAGCTGATATGAACAGCTGAGGGGCCAAATAGTCTCCACCAGCGACTGAAGTAATTGGATAACTGCAGCTGCTCATCAGTTTGTCCAAAAATCGTTGCCATTCATTGAAGTACTGAGCTGTGATATCTCCTTGTCCCCTTCCATTTTCTGCAGTATAAAGCCCATCACTTAGGGCTCTGGAGGTGCAGTGGTAGTGGCCATACCTCTGAGGTAGGAGATCCTGGGTTTGAAGCCCCACCTGCTTTAAAGGTGTGTCCTGCCATAAAATACATTAAAACAAAACTCAGCTCTGCACCTTGTTGTCATCGGTTATGAACCGTCTATCATCTGTCAAATTTCGGACAAAGTTTCACATTGTGGCCGTCAGCGGTAATTGTCGTTCGTTCGTTCCTTCCTCTCTCTCCACAGACGATGCAGGACCTTCTCGATCCTTCTCGTACTTTCTGTCACTGTCACGGCTCCGGGGAGGCGGGGAATGTCATTGTCACCACCGCCGCCGCCTCCTCCCCCACCACCGCTACCTGACGTCAGCGCGCCGCCGGCGAGAGGGCCGGAAGTGGCGTGGGCGTGGCCAAGCTCGGGCTGGCCGGAAGTGGCGGCGGGAAGGTGAAGGGGAGGGGGTGGTTTGCAGTTGTTGCGCAGCGTCGCTGATGTGAGGCGGAGAGAGAGAGAGAGAGAGAGAGAGACGAGAGTCTGCATCGCTGGAATCGTTCAGTCAGGGTGGGTTGTCCCCTTCCCCGGCCGTGGCTCCAACCGCTGACACCCCAGGGATCCGGGCTTCTCCATTTCCTTGCATCCGCCGTCCGATTGTCGGGTTCCGGGCCGTTGTCGTTTTGATCAACCCTTTGACACCCGGGGCCTGGGGAGCTCCCCCCCCCCCCCCACCACTTCTTCACCACCTTTCCCCCCCCCACCCCCATCACCACCTTTCCCTCGGAAGGTGGGCCCTTGGGCTCTGCGGATGGCTGATTCCCCGGGGATGGGGGTGTGGTTTAGTGGTGGTGGTGTTGTTTCTTCGAGCCCTCGTATCCTTTGCGGGCCTTGTTTTGGGTGAAAAGGCTGTTGTTTCGGGCCTCGTCTATGGCGATGGTTATTGTGGGCGGGGGGAAAGGAGGCGGGTGTTTCCTTTGCAGTGTCCGCGCTGCCTTCCTCCCTCCCAGCCTCTGGTTGCAGACATTGACAATTGACTGCTTCCTGACTTGTCACGCACAGCATCGGCCTCACAAATGGTTCACACCGGCTGATGTATTTGTTGGGGGTGGGGATGTTGGTGAAGTGAGGAATTGAGATTTGCGAAGATTGCATTGAAGAGGGGTTTTCAGTTGATGCTTGAATGCCAACCCCCCCAGCTTTTTTTTTTAAAATTTGCTCGCACTTTGCTTTGTTATTGTCGACAGCTCTTGTCTTAACATCTTGAGCCTCGCATCCCTTGTTGAAATACACAACGCTATTTTGATCGTCTCTGGTTTTGAAGGATCACCGCTTATAGCAGCCACAAAAAAAAGACTGCATTTAATGTTGAGCAAATGGGCGGCACTATTACCTCACAGAAGGTTCGATTCCAGCCTCGGATGATTGTGTTTAGTTTGCACATTCTCCCTGAGTGTGCGTGGGTTTCCTCCGGTTTTCTGCCGCAGTCCAAAGATGTGCAGGTTAGGTGGATTGGCCATGCTCTATTGCCCATAGTGCACACAGATGTGTCAGTCAGGGGGAATTAGCCATTGGAAACGCAGGGTTATGGGGATAGGGTAGGTGAGTCGGTCTGTGTGCGATGCTCTCGATCGGCTGAGTGACCCGCTTGTGCACTGTAGGGATTCTCTGCAACTTGGTTAATTGCGTGACCTGGCATTAATTTGGAATGTGTGTCGAAAGCCCTGGAAATAGTAGTTTGGCAGCATCCGTAGAGAAAAACAATTACGTTTCGTCAACGTATTTGAAATTTTCACTCAATAATAAAATCTCCACTGGAATTATAAATGCCATTTGCTTTTATTTTCCATTTTTGCTTCAAGTAAAGGGATAAGAATTGATTTACAGTAGCTTGCAAAGCACTTCTTTGTTGTTTAAATTTTGTATTGCACTGATCAGTTGTACTTAGAGCTGCTGAGTTGTGATGTGTACAGTGTCATAAGGTTCAGTTGGGCTTTTGACAATTTATCTCAATGAATAGAGAGGTCAATGATCTGAATCAATGGTAGCTAGATTGCTGATAAACTCAAAGATAGAGAGCAAAGTAAGGTGTGAGCAAGACTAATCTGCAACAGGGTATAGGTAAGCATGTGGGCAAAAGTTTGGCAGGTGGCATATAATTTGAGTAAATGTGAGTTGTCCTTTTGGCAGGAAGAATAGAAATGCAACTCTGGACTAAGATTGCAGATATGAAGTACAGAGGGATCGGGGCGTCTTGGTATGTGAACCTCAAACTTAGTGTGCAGGTACATCAAGCATTTCAGGAAGTAAATGGAATGCAAGGGCAGTGGAATGTGAAAGTAGGCATGTATTGCTGCAGCACTTTGAGACAACATCTCAACTACTCTATACAGTTAGGAGCTTCTTATTTAGGAAAGGATTTAAATGAGTTAGCAGTTCAGCAAAGGTATCTGGAATGGAAGGGCTTACTTAATGAAAGTCTGGACAGGCTGGGAATGTTTCTATTGGAGTTTAGAAGACTGAGTGGTGCTGTAATTGAAATGTATAAGATCTGAAAGAGACTGGTCAGGGTGGATGCTGAATGTTTCTTCCCCGTGGGAGACACTAGAATTAGGCGACACAGTTTACAAATAAGGGGCCTCCCATTTTAGATAAAAATGTCTCATTTCCATGATCAGTTGATTGAATTTGTAGAACTCTTTCCAAAGAATGGTACATGAGGTCTTTGAATATTTTCAAGGCAAATATAGATTGACTGCTTTGTTAGTCAAAAGATCTAAGATCCTCAGGGGTTGATGACAAAATAGAGTTGAGGCCACAATCAGATCAGCTGCGATCTTATTGAACAATAGAGCAGGCTAGAGGGGCGGAATGGTTGTCTACTCCTACGTCAAATCTTTGCCTCTATAAAAGGTAAAAATTGCTAACAGTCTGGAAAAATGTATTTCGAATATCCTGTGCCTGAAAACAACAAAAAAAGACCCTATTAATATTCAAAATCAAAGTTCTCAATTTGATGCTGGCCCTAATTCCAATTGGGAGACTTTGGTTTGTCAGCCCATTGTACAACTTCCACCATTCCATTTGATCATGGCTGGACTGTATCTTAACTCAATTTAGGTCCATATCCCAAGATAGCCTTATTTAACACTATCTATTAATTTGAGTTGGGGATATTTGAATGGTCCATTGTTCACAGCCTAGGGAATTCTAGGTTTTAACTTGCCATTGGGTTACGATTGTGTTGCTTATTGCTATTGATCATTGCATGTTTTGCCAAAATTTGTTATAGAACCAAAACCATCAGTAGTTTGATTTTGCATAGATCATGTTGCTGTTTTCACCTAAGTTGTTTGGTTTTTCTGCAGTTCAGGTACACGTACTGCCACTCACCATAGTGCCACTGGGATTTCAGTGGTGCACAATCTATAAATCTTTGCCAATTTGAGATTCAAATTTCTCCTTATCCTCATAATTAGGAAGTTTATGTGGTAAGAAAATGAGAGCTCTCAGTTCGTACGTCTGTCATTTGACTGTCGACTTTTTTTGATGTAGTGCAGTCAGCAAAGTGAGGGCTGGACTAACTTTGTGATAAACCTCGTTTTTGTTTTGTGTGCTTCGGCCCCTCTTGCCTCCCTTCCCCAGAGAGCTAGATGCTCAAAGCACATATACCAGTCTTGGATAATAGTGTTTCCTGATGTATTTTTAGATGATGCTTGGAATAACTTGACCATGTCTAAGATGTAGATTAGTGGATTGCAGCCTTCCTGCTTCCTCAGCATTACCTGTCCTTCCACTTGTCTTTGTGTCATTTGCAAACTTAGCAACAATGGCCTCAATTCCTTCATCTTGATCATTAATGCATAATGTGAATGGTTGCAGTTCCAACACTGACCTGTGATCTGTTACTGGCTGCCATCCTGAAAAACCCCCGTTTATCCCCACTGTCTGCCTTGTGCCAGTCAACCAATTCTCTATCCATGCCTGTACCTTGCCCCTAACACCGTGGGCTGTTATCCTATTTAGCAGCCTCTTGAGTGGCACTTTATCAGAGGCCTTCTGGAAATCCAAATAAATCATGTTCACTGGCTCTCCTTTGTCTAACTTGCTCAATACCTCCTCAGAATTTTAACAGATGTCAGACATGAACCTCCTTGACAAACTTGAGTTGACTCAGCCTATTGTACCTTGCACTTCCAAGTACTCCACAATCTCATAGTTAATTAAAATCTTGGCAATAACCAATATCAGCCTAACTTGCCTAAAATTTGCTATTTTCTGCCTCCCTCCCGTAAACAGAGATGCTACATTAGCCATTTTCCAGTCTTCTGTGACCCTTCCTGACTCCAGTGATACTTGAAAGGTCCCCCCCCCCCCCCCCAATACCTCTGCAATCTCCTCAGCTATCTTCTCCAGAAATCTGGGGTGCAGACCATCTGGTCTGGGTGATTTATCTTTCAGATCTTTCAACTTCCCCAGCACCTTCTCCCTAGTGATGGTCTGCCTCTGACTCTCTTGAAGTTCTGGTATGCTACTGGTGTTTTCCGCCATGAAGACTGCAAAGTACCTATTCAGTTCCTCAGATAACAAGGTGTAGAGCTGGATGAACACAGCAGGCCAAGCAGCATCAGAGGAGCCGGAAAGCTGATGTTTTGGGTCTGGACCCCTTCCTACTATCTCTGTTCAGTTCCTCAGCCATTTTTGTTCCCCATACTACTCCAGCATCTTTTTCCATTTATATTGGTTGTGTTGTCATTGCTGTTGGCTTTCTGCTGACTACAGAAGTGCAGTAAATAACTAATGTTCAGCATTAATGTAATGGAAATGTTTTGAAAAAAATTTATGCAAGGCAACATTTAAACTATGATTGACAGTTGTGGTGTGACATTTTGTATTGCATTAATGCTAAATGTGTAGTGGACCGTAGGTTTTCGTAGAATCCCTACAGTGTGGAAACAGGCCATTCATCCCAACAAGTCCGCACCACCTCTCTGAAGAACATCCCACCCAGATACCTGCCCCTACCCTTTCCCTGTAACCCGTCATCTCCCAGAGCTAATCCACTGAACCTACACACCCTGGACACTACGGGCAATTTAGCATGGCCAATCCGCCTAACCTGCACATCTTTGGACTGTCATGATTGAAATGGTACTGCTTGTGCAAGTGGCTGGTGTTAAATTTTGAAATTTGCAGCAAAAAGAAATGGAAAATAGCAGTTGATCCAGTCAAGTATTTTACTATCGTAGGAATTTTTACTTGCTGCTGGAGGCAGCTAAGAAATTCCCTGTATATGGCTTGCGTATGTGTGCCTTGAGCTCTGATTAATTTCAACAGCTTCATAGTGCTGTACAACTAACTGCATTTACCTGCTAGCATCGATGAAATAACTGAGGAGCATGAACTTTGTGTTTGTATTACAGGCCATCTTTAAGGTACACAATTGCAATATTGCACCCTTCTATCCTAGTTTCAATTATGTACTTGATTGCAGCTGATGCAGAAGGATTGCGCAGTTTTAGATTGTGACTCAACATACGCAATAGCTGAGATTCAGATTTGATATGGAT